AGACTTCTCTTCCTGAAGCAAACTCAGCCAGTCAGTGCTACCCTCTCCTGAAAACAAAACCAAGCTTCCGCTGACTTCAGTAGCAGCAGTGTTCAGTTCCAAACAGCTGAAGTGTGAACTAACGCCGGAAAACTAACTGAGACAGAGCAGTAATGGGGAACTCAATCTGAAAATGAAGTGTTTTTAATTAAGAGACACTCTTTCCCATTTAAAATTTGACTGTTCCTTCCTCAACAACTATAAATCACTGCTCTATAATAGTATTCTTAGTGGAAGGAATGCCTGATTGTCTGGCTTAAGTTAGGCCTGTGACTGATGGGGAGGGCTGTAGGTGTGTTGGAATTTATTCTAGCTGCTTTCCTACTTAGCATCCAATTTCTTCAAATGTTTCTGTTATAATCTCTTAATATTATAATCTGTTTCTTAAAAATGATAATAAAGTAAGGAATAAGGTTGCCTCTAGATTCCTAGTAGCTCAGAGCAGCAGCATGGCTGTCACACAGTGATTGGGAGTTTGCCTGTGAACGAGTCCAGCTCCAATCCCATGCCAAGATCTAATCCAACATTTTATGTAATGACTACCTAATAAAAATTGCATAAATGCTCACTAGTGGGAAAGTCAGTACCCAGATCTTATCTCTCAGTCCTTATTTTGTTTTTAAAGGAAGGTACAACTCTTACTCTGGTTTTGTAAGAGATTGTTAATACTTCACTCTACAGAACTGAGTCTACAAGGAGATCATAAGTACAATGGGAGTCAGTAAACTGACTCTGGTCAGCAAAGGCAGGGTTTAAATCAACACCAAGAGTGTGCATTAGGAACCAGTGGTTGTGGGGAGTCAAGGGTTGGGATACACAGTGTTACAAGCCCAGCACCATCTCGTAGGCCTTATGTGTCTGTTGAGGATTTTGGGTGTCTCAAGGGCATCTGGTGTATGTGGCCACATTTAATCCAGAAAGTATTGTGCCTCAGGTATTAAAATCTGTGGAAATGTTCTGCTGTCTCATTGCCTTTAAAAGAGCTTTCCCATGCTCTGTCCATGCCATGCCTGGACTTGGGAGTGTATTTTCTCACCAAGGGATCAGATTCAGCTTACAGGCAGGAAACTAACTCAGGAAGCTTTCTGAGAGATTAACAAATTGAACTGGCTCACTGAGGGGCCAAGTAAGTAGCATAGCAAGTAAAAGGAATGGCCAGGACCACATAACCACAAGTACTTGGTGGCAGGGACGGGGTGAAGAGCAGTGATGCCAAGCCCTTGATGACAGCGAAATGTCAGATCAGCTCAGAGCCCCTGTGAAAGCTGTCGCTGGCATATGAGTCTGGGTGGTTTTGAATGGTGAACCCCAATCTGATGAAGTCACTTTCTTTCACAGCAGAAGAGGATGTATAAATCCAACACAGTAGGCAGGAATGAGGATGCACTTTTCTGCTTGCCATCTCTTATTAGCTCTCTAATGCTAGTCTAATGACATGCAAATTTCACTTTAAGTGCCTGACTCTGTAATTTGATGTTCCTGTTGGTCTTGGATCCTCGCTCCAACCCAAAATGTGTTCTTTGATCCTGTTCTGGTTTGGCTTTTGTGCTCCCACAGCTGTGATGTAATCCAACCAAAAACTTCTTTCATGGGATATTTTCAGTCAAATCAGTTTCCCAACTTGGCTGACCGTGCAGTTGCATAATCTCTGATTTTTAACTCAGTGGAGGTGGTAGGACTGTTCCTTTCGGTGGATGTGTAAAGTCACCTTGGGTAGACTGTGAAATCACAAACTACGGCTCTCTGAGTTATGCAGGAAGCTTAAAACTCCTTTTCATCACTGTGGATTCAATTTCAAGCTCTCTTCATTCAGCCTTCTGTGAGTCTGAGTGCAGAAAGCAAGTTGCTAATGCAAACTAAACAGCAGGATCTCAGATCTGGAGTGCTCGGAACTGTTTGCTTCTAAAATCACCTTAATGATCTTGGGGATCTGCACATGCACTTACAGTGGTAAGATACACCCTTGCCATCTGTATCCTTCTAAAAGAACAATTCAGGGTCCTTTATGTGTCACTTTTCAAGATATTGGGAACTTAAAATTACACTGCATTTGCCAAGAGAAACTGGATTTAATAAAGATAATTAGAAAACAATACAAATAGGGAGAGAATGAAAAACTACATTCCCCAGAACTTGTTAGGAAAGGTTTTCTATATCTGGGGACAACCAGACACTTCTGCAAAGGACTTCTGAGCTGCAGCACATTTCAGGAACTTGCTGTTTGAGCTGGAGTTCTTTATCATGTTTCTTATTTTCCTTTACATTTCAATCAAAGAGTTTTCAAGAGTGTATCATATTGCTATCTTTATATTTGTTACAGTTTGTTCCTACTCTATAATGATTTTAGAAAAACCTGTCCATATATTCACTGGTAATGAGGAAAGTTGGTTTTTTCCTTCCCTCATCCTTCCCTCTGTCTACACAGAGAGTAACAGTGACGCCTTTTGCTCATTAGCAAAAAAGCCTTTCCGGATCTTTGTAAGAATCAATGACTGTCAGCGTCACTGCAAATGGTGAGTAATTAGACTTAGGAAATGAAGGATTAGATGTGGGCTCCAGCTGTAAATTATTGATTTTTTTAAAAATTATTTTTAACAATATACAGTTCTGTCAGTGCTGTGGTATAACTTGGAACAGGTAACCTCTACAAGTGGATAGGGAAGCATAGTTACTTGAAGAAAAGGAGCCCTATTTCTTTAACAGTATCAAATCCAAGCAAGCAATCCTCAGGTAGTTTTTCAGGAAGTCTCAATTCCCCTCCCCCCCCCCCCCAAAATGTAGATAATGTTAATATATTGCTGCTTATCAGAACTGACTGAAATACTTTCCTTAAGCAAAAATTCTACTTTTTGAAGTATGCTGGGAAAAAGTTCAGCATTTTGTGTGTGTGTGGATAAAGATCTGGTCATATAAGTGTGAGAATCAGTGAGATTCCATAAAAAAACCTCATACAGACCGGCATTTGCCTGGCCAGACCGCATGAGGGAGCCGGGCAGCGTTTAAAGCGGGATAGGGCCCCACTTCACTGCCCCAGAGCCGCTCCGGATGAGCGCCAGTGTGGGACCTGGTGTGCCACACGATGAAACAGTCACATAGAAAGGGCTTGCCTACTATATGAATGATTTGTTCTCTCCACGGCCCAAGAGTTACAACTGAAAACACACAAAAAAATAAACAAAGCCGGGAAAAAAAAATACAAGCATTTTAATGTTTTTGTTACAACCTTTGTGTTCTTTAGAACAGTTTGTGTATGCATACACAAACAAACATATTTTACTCCTGCTGCTACTTACCAGACAGAGTGACCTTAAAAACAAACCCATTTTTATCCTGTAGCATTTTGCAACCATTTTATTTTGCTTTGTTTCTTAGCAGATGAGTCAATGGTAATATTAATTCCTTTAGAAATCATGTGCCTGCCTCCTTGTTATTTCAGATTGGTGGGGTCTGTAATAACTCATATCTATACACGTGACTGCAATGTCCAGAAAATTGGCACAATAGAAAAATTTGAACTGAACTGGTTCAATACGCACAATCACTTTTTTAGTAATACTGCTTTCTCTGCTTTTAGTAAATCAAATATAAAGATATAACTACTAAAAGGTGGCATGAATAGAACTTAAAAATGCTTCCCATAAGCTTGACTAAAATAACTGTTTAGTATCCCTTTAAAATAAGCAGAACTCAAGTAATGCCTCTCGTAGTTACTAGGATGGGAAAGGTACTGGCTATTTCTGGTGGTGGTGATCACTGCTCTCCTGGCAGAACTGGGATGCTCTGCTGCAGTGATGAATGTGTGTCCTGGAACTCACTCGTCTCTAGCACAGTGCCATAGTTTGCCACCCTCCTCATGTTTGCATTTTGACAGGGTGGAGGCAGAGGGGGCCTCAAAGTTTTGCCTTGGTTGAAGTGCCTTACTTTGAGTCTGTGGTAAGAGGTGTAGCCCTTAGCACATAGCCAGAGAGGGATATTTTTGGCACATGACATGAAAAGCAACATCCCATGGAAACCAAGAATGTCATTCTACATCCCTCCAAGCCTAAAGCAGAGAACTTATATAAAGATGATGAAATTTTGGATGTGAAGGCCTAACAGCAACAGGTTGACCAAACTATACTGAGACTACCTAATTAGGATTAGTCTTAAAATTAGATTCCTCAGACAAGCACAAACTAAGAATGGTATCCTGGTAATCTGACTTGTGCAGTGCAACAAATCCAGTTGCAGAATCTGGTCCTAATGCTTCCGCCCACCCCCTCTCCTTCCCAGCAGTTAAATACTGCACAGTCCTTTACTCACAGGCTGTTTCTGTAACAGGCACAGCTTAAATATCTATGTACCTAATGGACTTATCCTTAACACCACAGTGAGGGAGGCGGCATTAACCTCATTTTGCAGATAAACAATGGAAGCCCTCATGGCTTCCCTGCATTACATCCTATGGAGCAACTGCGTGTATGCAGCGAGTGTAAAATGCTGTTACACGAGACTGAGGTATTGGCACCCAGACTGACAGAGCTTTGGCACGTCCTCTGTTCCTTCTTTGCGCAGCCACGTACCACTAAGGAGACAGAGCGAGTTCAGAATATGGGTAAGTTAACACTGACTGCTCTGCTCAGCCTGGGAAGATGTGGAGACTCGAACAGAGCTGGACTGTTCAGCAGTGGGTAACCTCACTGCTCAGACCTCAGGTGCTGTCTTCACCACAGTGTAGGATGGATGGTCCAGGGGCCTGAGGAAAACCTGGTTGACTGATGTATGAGAATTTTTTTTTTATTATTCTTTTCTACTGTAAGATGGGAAATAATTTCTGAGAGTTTTGCCTGAACAGAAGGGGGTAATTTTTTTTTTTTTAATAAATATGAAAAACTGGTTTTTAAACATTTGGAATGGAAAGTAATCAAACGGTAAAGTGTACTGTATCAGGAACTAGTTTTCCACAAGAGAACGGCACATACCTTTAACACTCTGGAAACACTTAGTTTAACCATTGTTGTAGCTATTCAAACCGATGCCGGCTGGCTCCCGCCGGAGAGACCGGCAGCCCTGCGCTCTCCTGCGCTGCACTTTGCTTTGTGACCCGGCGCCTCCTGAACAATGCGCGGGGTCAGTTTCGAAACTTCTCAGGGAGTGCACCCAGCGCGGGCGGCGGCACCAGGAAACGGGATACAGGCGCTGCTGCCTTATGTAAGCGAACCGAGCCCCGGCCAGGCCGTGAGCGAGGGCTGCGGCCGCCGCCTCCGCCCGTCCGTGCGCTCCCCGGGGCCGCGGGGCCCTCCCGCCCCCGTGAGGGGCCGCTCGTCAGGGGGCCGTGAGGGGCCGGGCGCGCGCAGCGGCTGCCAACGGTCACTCTCCCCCCGCGCGCGCGCGCGCGACACGTCACGGGCGGCTCGGAGCGGGCGGGGCCGGGGCCGCTTTCCCCAGGGCCGTCACGTGACCCGTGCCCCCCTCGGCCCTGCGGTCCGGCGGCGGGGGGCGCGGGGCGGAGGAGAGCGGGGCGGCCGCGACGGGAGGGCAGCGCGGCGGGCGAGGGTGAGCAGCGCTCCGGTGACGGCGGCGCGGGGGAGGGGCGGTCCGGCGGGGCAGGCTCGGGAGGCGGCGGCGGCGGCTGGTGGAAACATGGTGCCACACGTGAGGCTTATGTAAAGTGAGCGGCGGGCGGTGCGGCCAATGGGAGCGCGGCGCGCCCCGCCCCCGCCCGCGCGCCCCTGCCGCGTCACACGCGCGCGGCCAATAGGGGCGCGGGCGGGGCGGGCGCGCGGCGACCGGTCACGTTTTTGCCCGTATGAAGCCCGAGCCGGGACGCGCCGGGGCTGCGGGACGCGCCGTGTGCGGTGAGTCGGGGCCTGCCGGGCGCGCTCTCTGCGGGGACCGGGAGCCTGCAGGGGGCGGCGGGAGGGGGCGGCGGACGCGGGGGGCACGGGGGTTCCCCTCCTCCCGCCGCCCTCCGGGCCGAGGTTATATAACCCCCGCGCTGGGGCTCTCCCGTTGCCGGGCCGATGGGCGGACGGGTCGCCTCTTGTCCCGCGGGGTCCGTGGCGCCGCCGCTCCCGGCCCGCCGCGGATGGGGTGCGTGGGGCTCCCTCTCAGCCGAGCGAGGGGCGGCTGTGACACGCCCCCCCCCCCGGGACGGCAGCGAGGGAAGCGGCCGCCAGCTGTGAGTCCCGGGCTGGAGCGGGTGCGGGGCTGAGCGCGGCGCGGCCCCCGCCCGCCTCGCACCGGGAGGGCGTCCGGGAGCGGGGGGCACGGGCACACCTACACTCGGCTGGCGCTGGGACGAGAGCTGCGCTCCGAGGGGCGCCCTGGCGGGGTCAGGCTGGGGGGGCCAGGTGATGCCGGTGTTCCCCGCCTGTGTCCGGCCCGGGGCAGAGGAGGGGGCGGCGGAGCCAGTCCCAGTCCCCCGGCGGGGCTCCGCTCTGGCGTCCCTGGCGGCCGTGTGTGTGCGGGAGGGCACGGCGGGGGCGCGGAGGGCACCGCCGGCACCTCGCGTGTCTCGGTGCAGGGAGCAGCACCCCTGCAGGGCCGTGCCCGCCAGCCCGGTGGGATGTTTTACGGGAGGAATTGTGTTACTCAGAGCCACAGTCTCAGCACTACTAACGTGCGTGAGGTGCAGGTAGAGTGGGCAACAGGTGCTGTCTGCTATTTGTTTTTTTGTGCTGCCTGTGGTTGCGAGGACACTTTTTTCCTTGAGACGGTGTGGTTGTGCCTGCTGCTTACATTAGTTGCATGCTATTACATGCATGATTACAAAACAGTTTATGTAAGTACAATTTCATGCAAATAGATGAGCAATATGGTAACTGTCAAGCTGACACTACGTCTGACGTTCTGTAATAGGTCAGGATAGGGTAGAGGACTTTCAGTGTACCACAGGAGCTTAAAAAGCCCACTAAGATGTCAGTAGGAAGTCTCTGGTACTTGGAAACTGTAGCGCTTTGCAAGTCTATGCCAGTGAAACAGTAACTTGACAGTGCATTGAAGGATTTTGAAGAAACAAAATCATGAAGGTTGGAAAAGACCTCTAAGACAGAGTCCAACTGTTTCAACCTTATGTCCAATCTAAATCTACCATCTTGCAGTTTCAAATCACTGCCCCTCATCCTGTCACTACAGGCCCTGATAAGAAGTCTTTCTCCATCTTTCTTGTAAGCCTCTCTCTTCCTTTTCCAAATGTCAGACTGAGGTTTATTGTCTTTTACACCTGAGGTTGAATAGCTACCACCATTAAAGGGGAAAAAAGTGGAAATTCTGTAATGATTCTAGCGTGGAGAGTATCTGTCAAGTCAAAAATACAGTAAAACCCTGACGTAGTGTAGTGAGAAACCATTTTAAGTTGCCAGTATTGTTTCAACCACAGTTTGACTGGTGTAAGGGAGAGTGCCTACATTGTTGCACTGTAACATCAAGTTCCCTCTTGCTTATGCTTGCATGTGTTTGTGTGCTTTTGGGATCTTTCTTTTTTCCCTTTGTTACTGAAACTTGAATTATTTCTGCAAAGTGAGGCAGTTTCATTGGAAAACTGGACTGAGTCCTTACTTCATCCAAAGCTTGCTGTAGGTCTTGTGATTAGAGCACTGTCCTGAGGTGTGGGGTTCTGATTCTGGACTCTGGAGGTTGCTTACCTCACTGGTAACACATAGAGGAAAGGAGATGACCTTTGACCTAGGGCAGAAGAAAAAAGTAATAGCCTTCAGGTTTTGATGGGGTTTTAGCCATTTCAAGTGTTTATTTCAAGGTAGAACAGCAAATACTTTAGTTGGGTAGTTGTCTTAAGTGTCAAATGCTGTGCCATGAAAGAGCTTGTCCTGTGAAGAAGTAAAGTGTAGTTTGGCTTGATATAGTCCAGAAGGTAAAAGCATGGAAAGTGGGTTTTTTGCTTTTGTGCACTTCTTCAGATTCAGCAAGTTTTCTGGTTTCATTTACAATTCAAAGACTACATGGTTTTGCTGGACTTTTTGTTTATTTGTCAGTTGGTGGGACTTGTTGTAGGCTTCCTCTATTTGTTTTAGCATGTGAATGCTGTCAGTGAAAATCTAAGTAATCTTCATTTTTATATCTTACTCTTATTCCTTTTGGATTTCCACTAAGAGACAGCATATTGTCATATTACCTTCTCCACTTTTTCTTCCCCCAGTCATAAGATTAAAATATGTAACAACTCAGTTTATCAAGTAAATTTGCTTAAGCCTGTCCCTAAACAATACATTTTTATAGTAATAAGTATTGTGAGTAAACTGAGATGCTGATGGAGCCAAAGTATGAGAACAGAGTGAAATGAGGAAAGTGATTGGCAGTAAAGTTCTGGATGTTTCTTCTACCTCAGACTTTACTATGACCAGGAAGTGTTTGACTTAGATACAGACTAATAAACCAGTTTTCTTTTTCCTGGGTTCTGGCCACACCCTTATTTCTCTAACATCTTTACATTATTAGAATATAATTTACTGCAGAAAGTCTTCTTTAACTTCTTAAAGTATAAGCACCTGTGCAAATTGCTGTGGGATGAGGTGTATTTGGTGTGGATTAAAAGCAATATGTTACCAGTAGCCAGTAGAACCAGTAAATTATCACTAGTCTACATCAACTGTAGTGTTTTCTATAGGGTTGCTATGGTTGGCCTATGTTAAAAAGGGAACATCATGTTCTTAGCAAGGCCTTGTGTAATACTTGGCGTGAGTGTCCTGTAGACACTATATTATACTCATGACGTTACCACATCATAATTACTAGATGATCAGATGTTTCTGAAAAGGAATTTTTGTCTCCAGTTTTGGTTGCATGGCCTAGAATTCCTCTATGAGGTTGGTGGATTACAGAGCTTATTTACTGGATTGTCTTGCTGCATTCATATTTTCCACATCCTTTTATATCCCTGTAGAGCAAGTTTTGAACTGCTTGAGTACTCCTTGTGTTAAGTTAGCTTGTCAAGCACTGAACAGCAAAGGGGTCAATTAATACCTGTATCATTCTTTGTGTTATTGTTGTATTACTCTGAAGGGCTTTGACTTGCACTTTTGGGTGCAGATGAGGTTGAATACAGAAAATGTTGGTCTTGAAAGTAGTGCTACTGATGTTTTGTGTTCTGTGTAAAAGGTGTCCACTTCCCTGCTTTTAACTGCTGCCTTAAACTTACCCACTGCTGTAGTGGAGGTCAGGCTGTTAACACTGCATGTGTTGGTTGTAAGGCAAACCTTTTACTTGCCAGTCTTTTGTTAGTGAAGAAAAACTCTGCCTTCTGACACTTAAAGGGTTTCTTTGGGGGGGAGGGTGTGGGTGTTTCTTTTTAGTTACAGGCAACATACTTAATTCTGTTAAGTACCTCTAAAGAATATGTGAAAAGAGAAGGAAAAGAGAAGGTAGCAGTCAAACTCATATTTCATAGGCTAATGGATTTGCTATCTGTTGCTGGGATTTCTTGTGGCCTCAGGCTACTTTTGTGAAATGCAGTGTGGCAGAGAACAAAATGAAGAAGGGGCAGATGATTTGGGTATGTCTGCAAAACCCATGGAGAGGCTTTGAAGCTGCTCTCCAGAGCATGCTCTGTTAATACTGAGACAGAGCCCTATGTAGTAGGGAGGCACCCGCACACATGGGGATCCACATGCCCGAGCACACAGCAGTGATCCGATGTTCTACTAAGTGGCTTAGTAGATCACCAGGCACGCTTGTGCAGCCTGCTTGTACTCTGCCTGCCAGCAGTGCTGGAACAAGGGCAGGGCAGACTTCTGTGCTTCTGGTTTGTATTTCTGAGGTTATCCTTTCAGTGCAGATAGAGTCTTTTTGTCTGAGTGCCTACACTGGACTTGTACTAGTGCAGAATCCTCTCACTTGGTCCTCTCTCCCTATTGAGGGGTTGCTGAGGGACAGCAGCAATATACTAAATTTTGCAGCAGTTCTGAAGTGCATGTTTTCCCAGCTTATCCACATATGTAAGAGAGCTTATGAGAATTTCTGTGTGAAAGCTATTGTAAGGTCAAGAAATTTTTGTGCAGATGTTTTCAGCTGCTGCTGAAGTAGTGTGTGGTAGTCCTAGAGAAACCTTCTGATTTCACTGACTTTTTTTGGTAGTCTGATTTAGACAAGTTTGCCTGTAGAAGATACATAATCATGGAGTATGATTTTCCTTTCTTCTTCATTTTCTCCCAATAGAAAGGAAAATTTTATTAGGGGTGCTAATAGGTTAGAGGCCCAACATGCTGTTTCCACGACAAGTGGACTAAAATACAGAGAACATGATCCTTGGGGCAAGAATTTAAGGC